AGACAACTATTTTCACACATCACTGGGGAAGATATCAGTTTAGGAAATAACATCACGCATTACGAAATCTCGATTGACGTATCTCGGGGTTTTTCGAGGGCTTTAAAATCCCCGAGGCTACCCCATGAATTGACCATAAAAGGACTTCATACAAGGCCTGGATCTCAATGGTGTGGAAAATGACTATTGAGGAAAAGGAAAAAGGAAATATCCGAAGTTTGAGCCCCTGAGTTCATCTAGCAAATATGAACAAGGAAATAAGGAAGTGATTGAGGAATCCAGCTATTAGTTGCAGCTCGTGTAACAAGTTAAGTCGAAGGAAAACTTACTTCTTGATTACAAAGAAATGAGTCAGGATATTCATGTGAATGTATTGTCTTTGAAATGTGAGTCATTTAGAGCTCACCAGGTATTCCTCGGTTCCGTACAAACTGACGAAGTTTTCACCCTCCGCTAATTCCCGAGCTGCACCGAAATCAGCCAGTTTGTACACGGAAGAGCTGTCGGGCCCGAAACAGCACATGATGTTACCCGGTTTCAGGTCACGATGTACTATTCCTTTATCCTGCAGATGTTTCATGCCCTGACCTGCAGATCAGATAAGAAAATAAACTTTGGGTTGCCAAGAACACAACGATCGTATCACAAGATACAAGGTTTAAAAATTACAATAAAAACCCCACTTGCTCGTTTGTACCTGCTTTTATGGTGACAAACTTTTTATACTGCAGTTACAATCCGTGAAGGAAGCAAGGGGCCTATGGTGGTACTGTCAGCTTACCGAAATAATGGATCGCTGCAATGGAATTTGGAACGCCACGGTGCACAAGTACACTAGATCAACTAGGGTATCTATTCGGGGTTTTATTGACGTTCGGCTCAATTCTAAGCCTGAAATTCTAGCTGACACTGTCATATCATGCCATGTATAACTACACGGAAAATGTCCTGTCTCACTGCTTACACCAACCATGTACCACTACTAGGAAATAAATAGCGGAGGTTACTTAATGCGGGTGAGTTGAAACTTCTTGAAATTCACCAAACTGTGCAAAATATCCCATTAATATTTTCTAGAGGCCACAATTCTGGTAAACTGGGCAGTCTGAGAATACCCAATGCAATGACACTTCAGACCCAGTATTGATAGCTAAAATGACAATACGTTCTCAGGAATTAGAGAAAAATGTTCCTCTTGGTTGACAACTTTCTACATGCACAGTCAAGTATGGATAATGCACATCGAAAGGCCATCATAAAGTGTCTTCCCTGCGACTACAATGATGTCTACTTACTGACATCCCGAAGGAGAATAATGAACTCTGTCTCAGGCAATCCAAAGGAATTCTCGGGTTTGTCTAAGACGTTGAAGAGACTCCCACCCTCACACAGCTCCATGACGATGACACGATCGTGGGAAGTGGACTGAAAAGGAACGAGGGAGTTTTTTTATTGCTTCAAGTGATAAAGTTTATCAGTTAATCAAGCTAAACCTGAAGTTTACCCATGCAGTCTTTTTTTCTCGTTGAATGACTTGGCCATTTCGCGCCGCACCGGCCTGCGAAGATGTTTTATTTAAAAACTGCTTTTCATCCACTTTCGTCTAGGTTTACAATTAGTTTGTAAGAGAAGGCAATATCTTTATAATTCTTTTACCAAAACTTTTTTTTTCGTTATAATTACAGATCAGTTTCTGATCCTTTCGGAAAGTGACATCTTTCCTCACTCGCAAGTGACACTTTCTTGGGGAAATTATTTCACAAACCCCATATGTGTCGAGTAGGTGCGTTTAGCTTTTGTTTTGTTTACAGGCTTGGACAAGGAGATAAACTTACATCATATTCAATGGCAAGAAGTTTCACAATATTGGAGTGTTTTAGTTTAAGGAGCACGTCAAACTCTCTCTCCTGCACGCTTCCAGGTCTCCGGTAACTGACATTGTTGAACACCTTCACAGCAACCCTCTCGCCAGATTTCTGGTGGAAAAAGGGGAGGAATACGTTATGCACTGCTTGTAAAAGAAACTCACGTTTCAGGCGAAAAGTTTTTCCTATGAAGTGATATTCCAGCAGTGTCCAATTTCTAGACATTTTTGAATTCAATGAAGTATTAATTCAACCATTAATCTTGCGATTGCAGGCTTATCTGTGAGATTTGTACCTTTTCTCTGCCACCAAATACACTTCCCGTTGCTCCTTCGCCTTTCTTATCGTCCGTGTAGTAGATGTAAGACTGGGTGCTTCGAAGTTGCTTCGGCTCCTTCGTGCTGATTACTTGATAACGGCCAAACATGTCCTACAAAAGTAGCATACCTTAATCGTTCAGGGCATTTATGCTGAATTTCAGAAGGGGCGTTTCAAGCTAACGTAAAAAGTCTGTTTTACCGTGATTTTACCGTTTTAACGCACTTTATTTCCGAAAGCCCGCGCACAAGAAAATAGCTGCCATTTAGGCTTTAGAGAATCGTCAGTGAAGTGTTAAGGAATTTTAAACAAATATATTCCATTGTTAACTTCAACAGAATGCTAGTGGATTCTCGAAACGTTAACTTTTCAAGTCCTTCCTCAGCTCCGTATTTAAACCACGCCCCTCTTGAAAAAAAAGTTAACTTCAGGATTGTGATACTGTCACCTTTAAAAAAGTAAACTAAAAGTATTATTTTTACATAACGCCACAACAAAGGAGTAGCTGTGATGTACTCCGCCATAAGTTCATTTGCCGAGAACAGCATGTGAGCAAGCCAATCGAGCAAGAAAATAACATTTTACGCCTAAAAAGTATGCACAACCCCTATCAAATTAATATTCGAGTCTATGAGTACACTAGACCAAAGGACATCTCTGCTAATTCTTAGGAATCTCTAGGTCTGGTAACCTACACAGTCAGGTGGCAAATTTTAAAATTGTCCGAAATCAGTCAATTTTTCCGAACTGATTTTGCCGGTTTATTTTTTGGGTAGTGTATCCGGAAAAATGGCTTGTTTTCCGGATTCTGCAATATGCATCACAATTTAATTAAGAAAAAATTTTCGATTTCTGTTGTATTATTTTGTACAGAGCCCCTAAAGGGTCATCCCATTTTTTTTTATCTCGTGCGCACGAGATAATGTCTTGCGCACGAGATAATGTTGTGCGGACGAGATAAAAAAAAAATCGGGGGTGTCCCTTTAGGGGCTCCGTAATTTTGCATATTGCATGTACATGTAATTGACCTGCGCAACCCCCAACCACGGACGTATATACACGTCCGTGCCCCCAACACGTCCACACAAAATATGGAAAAACAGTGAGTACGAGCCACTGACAATAGAGATCAGTGGTACGAGCTGCGCCTAAAGAAGGGGGAATCCCACGCATTACGTCATACACTGCATGTATTTTTTTAAACGGTGACAACCACCTGGTGTTAATACAGCAGCAGGGAACCAGCTAAATCTTTTCGGTCGGAGCCCGACGATATACAAGCAATGCACATCTGTAGAGCATACCTGACCTCGGTCCCGCAAAATATTCACCGAGATGCACCGTGAAGTTTCTTGACGAAAATGTTCCCCAAAACAGAAGTGTGGTGAGGCAGTTATAGGCATACGAACCCAAAAGTTCGACATTTATAGTCATGATGGAACGGAATACTTAGGAGTCACCGTGTGTAACCAGGCAAAAATTTTCCAGTGGGAGTTGCTATAATGTCACGAAGAGGTGACGTGGCGATGCATGTGATTGTACATGTACAGTGGGTACACTACATGCAGTTCACTGAACCGTGTTATTCACGCCGTAGCTATGTCAATATTCGATTTATTTCTCACTCCTCGCCATTGCATGGGTTGCGTAGGACTCTCGGCCTGTGCTTTATAGTGATCTCCAACGTGTTCATATGGAATTTGCGTGTCATCGTCGGATTGTATTTAACTCATGACTCGCTGTAGTGGCATTTTTACTCATCGTGACGTGGAGGAATTGAGTGGACACCCAACAGACGTTTATTCTAGGAAACTTGACTCAGGAGTCATTTGGTAGGCTATTGGTTATTTGTGATCACTGTGTATCAATAAGTTGTCCTTTAATTTTTACAGGACTCTGTATCAATAAGTTGTCCTTTAATTTTTACAGGTTGAGTACATTGCATTAGTAGTTCGTAATATATTCACAAATGTTAAATTTCCTTAAGAGGCTATGGGAGAAGTCGGTTAGAAAAATGCGAATGGGGCCGTTAAGTCTCTTCATGTTGCTTGGGGACAACCTTGCCGCCGGTCACGGCAACACTGGGAACAAGGTCCATGTGCTGAAACCCTAGAGGCTTGAAGACTGGTCCGAAAAAACTGTTTTCTAAGTAAACTTATAATATTTTCCCGGCTAAATTTAACTTTTTAGAACATGTTATCGCTTCCTGGTTGCTGACATGTCACTAAGGGGAAGTAGCTAGTATAGAGATGTCCGTACATGATGTGTGGAATTCTCACCAAACAAACCAATCGTTTGAGATTGGATCAGAGACGTCGTGTAATCGATAGAACCCCCCCAAAAGAAATCATGCCAACTGTACTGACTCCATTTTTAGGAACTCTAAGTAAGATTTGGTCACGGGCCTTATCTTATTTTTATGTTCAATTACAAGCTTGATGGCGTCATGGCCGGGAAGTGAAATTCATTGCCCCGTTTAATAAAACCATATTTTTAAAGTAACTTTTGGTTTTAACATCTTTTACTTTTTTATTCACGAGAGGAGCTACTTTATTTTCAAGAGCTGCTATGTGTATTTTTCAGAGCAGCTATTTATATTTTCCAGAACAGTTAATTTTTATTTAAAGAGGGTCTAGGCCTATTTCTACATTCAAGTAGCTTTTTTTCTTTTTAAAGCAGCTTTTCGATTTCCCAAAGCCACCATCATCAATGGCTGTAGTGGCGTTGGATGCGCAATGTCTGCATTTGATCAGGCGGCACTTTAGTTTAGGACTTATGACGAAGTAGTTGCTTCAGTTACTTATCGTGAGATCTTTGCCAGCAAGCGTTACCTAAACCACAAATTGCCAGAACTTGGTCTTTGCTCTAGAACATAAAACTAGCTTTTAAATGAAAAGAGCTGCTCTTCAAAATAGAAACAGCTGCTCTAGCACTATTGGGCCTTCGTAAATACTAAAACGATGAGCACAGATCCTAGTCTATTTTCCTGCATGTGTCCGCTGGGGTGACTTAAATAGTGGAACCCTTATACCCAGTATTGAGAGTCCAAAATTTCAGACTAATATCATATCAATGCAATAGTTTCATTACAACCAATTTCAGGATTCTGGGGATTTGTTGCAGTTTCAGACCGTCAAAGGGTTGTTTTAATATTGAAAAAATAACAAACGAAGTAGTACTAAGTGAGAAGTTATATGTGCAAGTGGCTGGTTAGATTTGGCTAACTTGACAAATTGCCCCAAATTTCGACAAGGTGGGTCCTTTAATTACAGTAAAATATAACAATAGACCCCTACTATGAGTCATGAAGAAGTGACTATGAGTCGACATTCAGTGAAAAATGAACAAAGAGCTTAAGTTTAAAATAAAAACACCACTGTACACAGAATTGTACATATTCAGTGT